AAAAAAAAAAAAAAAGTCAAAGAACTTATTTTGCTGATGAAAGGTCAACTATCTTCCAATCTGTTCACTCTCTCTAGGAGATTACTTATTGTAATGGAAAAGGCATCCTGAAACCTCTCAAGCTGAGAATCTGTGTCCCCATAAACTAGACCAGGCAATAGCTCATACACAATAAATCTTCTCATATCATCCCTCTCTTTCTTGGTGATTTTCATCAATTTCTCCACCACATTTACCCCCTTTTCTCTCACTTCTTTTTGGTCTATGAAAACTGAATACTTGCCATGATCTTCCGGTAAATGCCAAGGATACTGATAGTAAGCTGTGAAAGGATCAAACAGAACCGGTATACAGCCTGACACTAGAGAATCAAACACGGATTTTCGAGTTGGGCTGTCTCCTGGAGGCTGCAAACAGAATTCGGACTCCATGAAGAGCTCGATCACCGATTCGGGTTGGCTGCATCCCCGTGGACTGCAGTCAAGAATCTGGCATTTCTGAATTTCCACTGAAGTGCATTGCTTGATCAGAATAGACCTTATGTTCTCGGGGGCATCGGGGCGCGCTGCTCCCGCGAAGCTCACGAGGTGTTTTCTGCTTGAAGTTATGATTTTGGATTGCCAGGACATGATGTCTTCATCTGAATGTGGGTGGAAGTAGGTTGGATGCGGAATGCCAATGTCGTTTTCGTGCCACGGTTGTCGTTCGATCAGGAGTTTCACGGGGTTCTGCATTTGTTCAAGCTCTAAGAATCTGGTTCCCCATGACTTCTCCTTTCTCCTGAAATCCCATGAAACTTTTCCCAGCACAAAGACATGATCTTTCCCCGAATTCGGAGCCCAAGGCCTTTGTCTTTCTAGCCACTTGACCAACTCCAACCCCAAAGTATCCTTGACATCATTTGAGACATTCTTGAAATGCCATCTGAGGATGTCCAGGCCACCATAGAATGGAACATAGAAAAGCTTGGCTTCATTTTCATTTTGAACCCTGCAAGGATGCTTCAAGACTCTTGAATGGAAAATAGGCTCCAGAGAGTACTGATGAGTCCGGTACCACGCTTTCCCGAGCTTCGGAATAGGCTCTCCCAATCCTTCATTGCCGAAATACTTGCAAAAGTCCATCCATGGAACCATGTCCCTGCACTGACCAACCAAGTCCTTATTAAACTTTGATGGCAGATCATAGACATAAATTCCCCTCCCATCACACCCTTTTCGGTTCCTATCCGACGTCCACGAGCGGAGCACTTGAAGATGTTCTTCGACAAACTTCACCGCACCTGCAATCTCATTTTCTCTGCCATGGCTGATACTATCTCTGACAGTTGGATCAGAACCATCCCTGACAA